CTCTGCTTCTGTTTTTACTTGTATTTTTCATCCATTACCAATCACCAACTGACTTCATTGTGCTCTTTAGTTGACTGTATAGATTTTGATGTTTCAGATTTTCTGGTATGCATATAAAGTTTGCATTCTGTTTTATCTATATGCTGTATGCATTTTAATGTTTTATCCATCACTGTACATTGTATTAAGCACTTTGAATTGCTGTTGTGTATGAAAATATGCTATATAAATAAACTTGCCTTTCCTAATCTTTAAAACTGTGGATGTTTATCGAATTATTGCTTTGTAAACTTGTAATATAAGCTAGTGAGTGAAAGTCCTTTAATAACTCCTGTATTCCAAACCCCAAAAGATCATTAAGAACATCATCACCACTATACAATAATCTGTTATTTAAAGCAGAAGTTCAACATTTCAGGAAGTAAAGTTATTTGTTATATAGTATCAATCTACTCTTCTAACGCTGTACTCCAAGTAAGAAAGTGCATTTCTCAAAATGATGTGTTCCCAAAACTACTGCATTAAAGTCATCACATTTTACAGGAATTACTAATTATAAACCTTGTACAAAAGCCCCAGATATACAGTGCAAGATCCATATTTTGCAGTGCACTGACTGACCTGGCTTGGTTTGGTCCTTCTCCACAATCAGACAAACGTGTTCTTTGGACAAGTGTGTCTGTAAAACATCCCATCTCATCTGCTTTTACCTGGGGTTGCTTCTTGGAGGATAATAGCAATCCTGGCTCCACAAAGTCTAGCTCATCAGAGAGGAAATGCTGGTTTTCTAACCTGCAGGAGAATGCAAACAATGCTCTAGGACTTGCTAAGTGTTTGTACATGTGTGCGACTATATGAGGGTTTTCTTACCTCTCACTTTACCGTTCTTTGGTCACTGAGATCCTTTGAGCTTTACTCAACAGTGAGACCTTGGATGCCAAGGTCAAAGGCAACGAGGAGGGGGCTTGCTGAACCCTGCTGGGCTGTGGAGCTGCAGCCTCTGGAGACACAGGCACAGCCAACCAGCCTGTGAGCTGCTGTGCAGCAGGCAGTGAGCGTTACCACAGTCATCAGCAGATCCGTCTAGTATAGATGGAATATGCAGCTTCTTGCAGGTCTGTGATCTGTTAACTGATCCTATGTCAGCCACTTCCTATGGAGTTCAGCCAAGTGATAGCACATACTGTTGAAATAATACATATTTTAAAATATAAGGCGCATTTGTAAATATGGCCTCTTTTTAAATGGCTTTGGTTTTGTACACTTTTGAGATTTTAAGTACAAGAATTACTGTAACATACAGTGACTGTTACAGATTTCTGTAAAATCGTACAGTTTGTTTTTAATGTAAAAAACTAGATGCATATAACTCAGGGGATGTAACCAGCCAACTGACTGCTTTGTACATTGTGAGAAATGTTGCTATCTCTGAGCCTTTCAGACTGAAACCTTCTGAAGCACTGTAAAGCTTGATCTTCTGGTCATACACGTCTGGAGTGATGTTGTGTGGTTGTCTCTCAGGCTGTGGTCAGGGTGAGGACGCAGCGCTGGCTGCTGAATTGTTTGCACTGTTTGTTGCTTGTTAATACTGCTCATTTTGGGATATGTACATACACATTGAGAGCCAGTGTACCAGAGTCACATTCCTTGTGTGTCCAACACATCTGGCCAATAAAGCAGATTCTGATTCTGGTCATTTTTATGTCTGGAGTCCAGAAGCACGAAGGACATGAGCAGGAGTATGAGTCACTGAGCGACTCACAGGAATGATTTGGGCACCATTTTGTGATCTGGTATCCAGTCATGGTATCTGTCACCAATTATTGTTAATTCTGTTAGAAACTTGATGGCAGGCCAAAATACAACTTGGCTGTTTTTCAGGCTTGTGTCATCTTTGGACTCCTTGCATTGTTGATGAGGTAAAAGAAGCATCGCTCTGTAACAGCCCTGCACAACCAGACCGGACGTTCTGTGTGTTTCTGTAGTCGCAACAGCTCTGACAGCGAGAGACCTCTTCTCTGCTTTACTTTTATTTCAGGAGTCACATGCTCCCAGTTAACTTTGATTCATATCAATGATGAGTCCAGATCAGCTTTTTCCAGCCACATTTAGCTGACATAACAAGATGTTATGAAGCTAGCAACAAGGCAACTAGGAGAACTGGGGCAGCATCTGCCCTAAAGGATGTTTTCTATCTGTGTTAGTATATTGGACCCATTTAATCCAAATAGCACAGGTGACAAATGAAAGGAAGAACCCGAATAACTGAGTGGTCTCCCCTAGCATGACAGAGCCCCTGTCCACAGGACACCAGGGGTCAGTGACTGGTCTGATGAGGATGACCATGATGTAAACCAGACACTGTGGCCTTCCCAGTCACCAGGTCTCAGCCCAGTTGAACAGCTATGTTGAAGTAGTTGAAGACTGAATGATGCATCGCTGTATGTTGGCAAACACTTAGCACAGTTTGTTTTTTTAACATACAGTACATTTCCTGTCAAAGGCAACTTGAAACGTGAAACATTATTAACATGACCCATATTTTAACACATATTTAAATTTATTTACAACTTCCAGAGTTCAGACAATTAAAAGTCATGTAACATGGTGTAATAGACACTGAAGACTGAAGTTTTCCCTGTTTACTTTGTTTGTGCTTGTTAAACATGGACACACTTTGTATCCATACAGGTGTCATCATCCTCCTTCTGACAAACACCCACAGGAGGAGTTAATTATATCGATATTCAGTGAAAACATTAAGGCTTTGAATATTTAATGTGTCTAAATGAGTGCTGAACCCTGCTGGGCTGTGGAGCTGCAGCCTCTGGAGACACAGGCACAGCCAACCAGCCTGTGAGCTGCTGTGCAGCAGGCAGTGAGCGTTACCACAGTCATCAGCAGATCCGTCTAGTATAGATGGAATATGCAGCTTCTTGCAGGTCTGTGATCTGTTAACTGATCCTATGTCAGCCACTTCCTATGGAGTTCAGCCAAGTGATAGCACATACTGTTGAAATAATACATATTTTAAAATATAAGGCGCATTTGTAAATATGGCCTCTTTTTAAATGGCTTTGGTTTTGTACACTTTTGAGATTTTAAGTACAAGAATTACTGTAACATACAGTGACTGTTACAGATTTCTGTAAAATCGTACAGTTTGTTTTTAATGTAAAAAACTAGATGCATATAACTCAGGGGATGTAACCAGCCAACTGACTGCTTTGTACATTGTGAGAAATGTTGCTATCTCTGAGCCTTTCAGACTGAAACCTTCTGAAGCACTGTAAAGCTTGATCTTCTGGTCATACACGTCTGGAGTGATGTTGTGTGGTTGTCTCTCAGGCTGTGGTCAGGGTGAGGACGCAGCGCTGGCTGCTGAATTGTTTGCACTGTTTGTTGCTTGTTAATACTGCTCATTTTGGGATATGTACATACACATTGAGAGCCAGTGTACCAGAGTCAAATTCCTTGTGTGTCCAACACATCTGGCCAATAAAGCAGATTCTGATTCTGGTCATTTTTATGTCTGGAGTCCAGAAGCACGAAGGACATGAGCAGGAGTATGAGTCACTGAGCGACTCACAGGAATGATTTGGGCACCATTTTGTGATCTGGTATCCAGTCATGGTATCTGTCACCAATTATTGTTAATTCTGTTAGAAACTTGATGGCAGGCCAAAATACAACTTGGCTGTTTTTCAGGCTTGTGTCATCTTTGGACTCCTTGCATTGTTGATGAGGTAAAAGAAGCATCGCTCTGTAACAGCCCTGCACAACCAGACCGGACGTTCTGTGTGTTTCTGTAGTCGCAACAGCTCTGACAGCGAGAGACCTCTTCTCTGCTTTACTTTTATTTCAGGAGTCACATGCTCCCAGTTAACTTTGATTCATATCAATGATGAGTCCAGATCAGCTTTTTCCAGCCACATTTAGCTGACATAACAAGATGTTATGAAGCTAGCAACAAGGCAACTAGGAGAACTGGGGCAGCATCTGCCCTAAAGGATGTTTTCTATCTGTGTTAGTATATTGGACCCATTTAATCCAAATAGCACAGGTGACAAATGAAAGGAAGAACCCGAATAACTGAGTGGTCTCCCCTAGCATGACAGAGCCCCTGTCCACAGGACACCAGGGGTCAGTGACTGGTCTGATGAGGATGACCATGATGTAAACCAGACACTGTGGCCTTCCCAGTCACCAGGTCTCAGCCCAGTTGAACAGCTATGTTGAAGTAGTTGAAGACTGAATGATGCATCGCTGTATGTTGGCAAACACTTAGCACAGTTTGTTTTTTTAACATACAGTACATTTCCTGTCAAAGGCAACTTGAAACGTGAAACATTATTAACATGACCCATATTTTAACACATATTTAAATTTATTTACAACTTCCAGAGTTCAGACAATTAAAAGTCATGTAACATGGTGTAATAGACACTGAAGACTGAAGTTTTCCCTGTTTACTTTGTTTGTGCTTGTTAAACATGGACACACTTTGTATCCATACAGGTGTCATCATCCTCCTTCTGACAAACACCCACAGGAGGAGTTAATTATATCGATATTCAGTGAAAACATTAAGGCTTTGAATATTTAATGTGTCTAAATGAGTTATCAGGGGATTGGCTCAGATGCAGGGATGGGTCTCTGTGACACCTCAGGGCATTTCAACCAACTAAACAGTGTTTCCATAACAACAATAACTTTGCTCATTATTTGGAAAAATTAGCTGAAGTACACTTTGGACCCACTTGCAATCTTTTTGTTTTTAGACAATAACATAAAACAAAAGTACACAAAACCTTCAGCTGTGTTCTAATACATGCTTTTATCACATGGCCATCAGATGTCAAAGCAGCTGAAGTGGGCACCTGTCAATCAAGAGAGTGTGCCCTAGAGTTTAATGGAACAATAACTTGTGAAGAATTTCTTGGCAACAAAATATTTTTAAGGTGTCAAACACTGACTCATTGTCTTAACCATGTGAACAGCATCAGTCACACAGGGGGCCCTACACTGCCGGGTTGGGAGAAGGAGTAATCTTCCTCTTCCACGCTGTCCATGCCAAGGCGGTCGAAGCTGGCATCATCCTTTGCGTCCTCGCCAAGTCACCTGGTGACACAAGTGAGGGTGTCACGTAAGGTGGGTGTGAGCACTGAGCTCTTTAAAGGTCTGTCTACAGTGACGCAGACTCAGCTTCTGACCTGCTTGCTGTCTGCACAGGACAAATGTCTGTGGATACTGCTGGGGTTTGCTGGTGATCTCCAGGCATCGCCACTCCATAAACAATGGATTGTCACTGTTGCAAGAACACAAGCTAAAGAAGATTAATTGTGCTTCTCTGCTCCAGCTGTACAAGCAGATTAAGATTTGTATTTCCTAAATGCTTCTCAACAATGTTATATGCAACACAAGCCAACATCACTGTTGGACAGCAGAGCCAGGGGTTACTGAGTAGAGTGTTGATTTCTCTTCTGACCACAGTGCCTTCCTTTGTGTTTCTCTTCATTAATGGGACCATGTTATTCACCCTGAGGAGTAGACGAGTGTTTCGTGAGACCTCGCGTTACATTCTGCTGTATAACCTGCTGTTTGCAGACACTGTACAGCTGGCACAGGCCCAGCTGCTGTACCTACTGGCTGTTAGTAGGATACTGCTGATGTACTCTGCATGTGTTGTTCTCACTCTGCTCACTGATCTCACAAATGACATCTCCCCTCTCACGCTGGTGGTGATGTCTTTGGAGAGGTACATAGCTGTGTGCTACCCACTGAGGCACACTACAGTTGTCACCGTTAGAAACACAGGAGTGGCCGTTACTGTAGTTTGGGCCTTCAGCTCATTAAATATACTCATTCGAGTGCTTTTGCTGTTAGATTTTATATCTGCAAACTTGCAAATGAATGACCTCATGTACTACCTCTGCTATCAGTGGAGACGCTCACCTTTGCTCTGACTTGTCTCAGTCAAGAATAAAATCTGCATATTTATCACTTCTTAAATAAATGTTCATTTTTAATAAATGCTGATCATTTGTTTAAAATTGAGACTTTTTGCAAAATACAAGCAAAAATGCTGCATCCTGTTTTGATCTATATTATATAAAGAGTTATGTTTGCTAAAGCACAATATTGCCATGCATTTACCTCTATTGGAGTGGGCTGGCAGCGAATCTGTCACTGGCAGACACATTAAGTTAAAATCTGATGCATGACATCAAAACTAAAACCAAAAACATCTGCATGGACATAACACAACGGGAAGGTGAGAAGCTGTGCTTGTTTTTAACTTGGGTAAACCAACCTTTTAATGAGCGCTTAATCTATAAATTATGAGGTCCCACAATGCCACTTGGTGACAGACCTGGCGTGTCAGTGTGGGAGGAGGAGGCCCCGGGATGAAAACATCTCCGTAATGACCTACTGCAGCAGCTCTGAACTCACCGATTTAATAAGTAACATGGAGGCTTTTTGACTCTATTGCCCACATTTTTGGTGAAGCTTTTCAGTTGGTGAGGTGCTGTGATGCTTTGGCCTCAGTCTTTAGAAGCTGCTGTAAGTTTTGCTGAGGTGAAACTCTAAATCTGTGAGACACAGCGTTACCTGTCAGGCCACAGCCACTACAAATAAAAATACTCTTAAAGAAGAACTTTAACTTGGGCCCTTAGAATATATCCTGTGTTGGCAATGTTTCATGTCTTGTCAGTACAAAACTTGGATTTTTTTGTTTTTGTGTTTTTGTTTTGTGTATGTGTTGGGGAGGGGTCCACTAATATTTTAATCTGATCTTCTTTTGCTTGTCTGAGATGAAATATACTATTTACGTAACGTTTCCTTTTAATGTTCCAGTTTTATTTGTCCAGAATGGGGCTTAAATAGCTTCTGATTTTAAATAACAGTTGACATGTTATATCTATAATGTGATACATCAAATAAAAACATTAAACAGTGGATCTGACCGGTAGCACTTTACCTGTGTATAAAGTATATAATAAATAATAAATGTTTGCAGTACTTAATGTAAACAGCTGTAAACACATTTTAGGTTTTTATTAAAGTATTGTCAGCCTCTCTGAAATAAACCTGCTGGATTTTATACTATTACAGCTGTAATACTGTAGGGTCACTCGTTACCCTTGTTGTTGCTGTACACAGGTGTTTATAGAGGCCTACAGGTTATAAATACTAAATGAGAGTTCATGGTGTTGCCTTGTGATTTTCTAAATACAGGACAATAGGCACAATATACTATGTTTCAACCACATGATGAACACACTCGCCCATACCATTTATAAACTTCAAAACATGCTGTATGGTTTCAATTATAACAAGCTCATAAACGTACAGCCACAGCTCACCTGAAGCGCACAGGATTTATAGGGGGAATTTGGCTTTTTTATTGATAAATTATTGATTATTTATTGCTGATACGTCTTCTGTCAGTCAAAGGATTAATACAATGCGGTGTTTCTAACGAAATGTAAATGTGGTGATAACCACAGAAAGCTGCATGAAATGAGAAAGACTTTCTGGGGGGGTTCAGTACGGTGTGTCCGTGGACGTGTACATGGTGATGGCCTGTAGCCTACAGTGCACAGCCTGTGGAACATTAGGTTGTTCAATCCTAAACAGGCCACGTTTGGGCCCAACATAATAACAGACCAGCCTCAACAGTTGAATTATTTTATCTGTGGCAGGCTACTCGTTGTCATATTTAGGCCTTTGGTTTTGAAAGTTATTGTGATATGTAATTCCTCTGCCTTTTGTTTACACAGTTTGACTCGTGCACTTTTGTGAGTAAGGAAAGCAGCTTCACACTCCCTGTGTCTCTGCAATCATATGGACGCTCAGGCGTTATGGTCTAATTTGTCCAAGCCTGTTAACCTGACATGTCCATGCTTTTATTCTGAAAGCTGGAACAGGAAGTGCGTGTTCCATTGTTCGTGTGCGCGTTGACTCTGGTCTTGGTCCTGCTCGCTCAGCCTCCTCCTCCGTCGCCATGGTGCAGATGATGGAGTCGCAGTGCGAGTATTTCATGTATTTTCCGGCGGTACCCATCACGGATCTGTCGGACCCGGCGCGCTACCGCACTCTACCCCGCCGGAGCCACCTCTACCTGGGGGAGACCGTCCGCTTCCTCCTGGTGCTGCGCTGCAAGGACGCTGGGGCGACGCCGAGCGAGCACGGCCCCGGTAAGGAAGGGGCGAGCCGGGAGGGTGCAGGGATGAAAGGGCGGAGTGGGGAAGCCAAAACCTAGATATCTTTATGATTTTCATTCAGGCAGCCACTGTGTGTTTGTTTTAATGCACAGCGACTTCGTAGCCTAGCGTTAAATTGTTTAATATCCCATTACAATAGCACATGATCCAACAGGCCACCTCCACATGATAAATATATAAATACTTCCAATATTCCCGTACCATTGGACCTATGAAGTGCAACACTAGTGTAGGCCTATAAATATTTATTTTAAAAATTTTAATAAGTCCTATGTGCAGACGGCGCTGGGTCAAGGGAACAGGTGACAGAACACCTGTTTCATTTCAGGCTGTCCATAAAAACTGGTCAGTCAAGGAATCAAAGATCAGAGGTGTTTGGAGTGCTGCAGAGAATGTTTTCACACTAAACAACACTGGACCAAAACAACAACGCCCAGAGCAGGGCAAAGACACCAGAGCATATAAAATGCCAGAGATAATTGAATAAAGCCAGAGCTTAAACTCTCGAGACTGAACAAATAAATGAGAACTGGACCAAAATGGCTAAAAATCCATCTAGTATCAGACCAACCAGGGTTAAAGTTCCAGTGAATACTGGACCAAACCAGGGCTGATCATAGACAAGAGAACACTGGACAAAAGCAGGACAAACAGCAGAAAAACAATTAGGGGTCAGGGTTTAACAAAACGAATGTAGGCCTGTCCAAAGAAGATTCTTTTGGGCATGAAGTTCTGTGTGCATGCATCATGCCTGTCTTCCAGCAGGGGGTGCTGCAGCATATTTCGGGACAGAGTCGCCCAGTAGCCGGGCATGGAGAGAGGGGGGGAGATTACCCGCCACCGAGGCAGCCTCCACCAGCATCACCATGACTACCAGAGCAGCAGGGACGAGGCGAACGGGGACGGCGAGGAGGACTACATTGCAGCAGCCGAGGCGGCCATTGCGGCACTCGGCAGCAGGGTGGACCCCCGGTGCTGGAGCTTCAGGGACTGCAAGCCACTGCTCATCCACAACTCATCTGGCACATCAGCGAGGGAGTTCCGCAGGGCACCTGTTCAGGTACACTGCTGCTGATGCTTAGGTTGACAGACCGGAGAGGAGGGCAGAGTAGTCTAGCCTGATCTCAGCATTTCTTCACTTTAAATACACTTTTATTTAATTCCTTCAGCATCTTCACTATAAGTATGAACCAATATGTGTGTGAGCTGTAGCCTGACTGGCTGGTGGAGGCATTCAGCTGTGTTTACAGCAGGTACATTTCTCGAGACCTCAGAGCTGTGGCTGCATCTGCTGCTCGGTGATGGTTTTAGCTTCATGATGGTTTCTCATCACTGCATCCATTTCTCCATGCCAGTCTCCTCTGGATGAGCCGGTGGTTTTGACAGATGAAGTGATCTTCCCTCTCACCGTCTCTCTGGACAAACTCCCCGTCAGCACTCTCAAAGTCAAGGTCAGGGTGGTTTGTCGTATTCTGGGGTATGATAGGACATTTTCACATACAATGGAGAAATTTTTTTCACAATGCAATGTGAAAACTGTTAAAGTCAGATGTGATCCAGATAACTTTGGTCCTGGTCCATCTCAAAATGCTGGGGTTTAGATTTTACTCAGAGTTTGCTCCTGTTGGAGACTCTGGTTGTGGATTTACAAGCTAGGAATGCACTGTTTTAAGTCAGTTATTTTGTACTGTGTGTGCTCAGGTGATGGTCACGGTGTGGAAGAAGGAAGCAGAAAAAGCTGAGGTGCAGGAGCTCGGCTACCTGAGCGTCCTGCAGCAACGAGAACCGACACACACCTTCAGACATGACCTGAACACCTTCAAGGCTCAGGGTACAATGTACACACAAGAAATAATCAGCACTGTGAACAGTTGTAAGCTGCAGAGCTGGAATATGAGGCATCCTTGAACAAACCTTCCTCTCCTCTCGTCCACAGTGAGCACCACCCTGACCGTCCTGCCGCCTCCGACCGTCCGCTGTAAGCAGATGACTGTCTCTGGGAGGCACCTCACCGTCCTCAAAGGTTATTACTGGATTCAGTGTCCAGCAAAGATACACAAACATTCTCATCTAGAATAACATGCATCGCGTTGTGTTGTTCAAACCTGCTCCTCTCAGTGCTGAACGAGTCTTCTCAGGAGGAGGTGAGTGTTCGTGAGGTTCGCATTTTACCCAACCTCAATGCCTCCTACCTTCCCATGATGCCAGATGGTTCTGTGCTGCTGGTGGACAATGTGTGGTACGTTCGCAGATGTGTGTTCGTGTAACATTGTGTATTGTCATGTGTTATATTCTATATTTTACATTCTGTTCTGTTCCCGTCTGTTAAACCTCTGACTGTTACACTACACTGTGTTCTGAATCTGTAAACTATCTTCCTGTCCTGCTCTGCAGCCACCAGTCAGGCGAGGTTGGCATGGCGTCTTTCTGTAGGGTGGACAGCCTCTCCTGCCACCTTCCTAGCATGCTCAGTGCATTGGAGGAGCATGACTTCCTGTTCCAGCTGCATCTCAACGATATGCCACAGGATGACTCCAACGAGGTCTGGACCTGTTTGTGTGGCTGCCTTTACAACGTGTTTTGGAAAATGTGTATAACCAGGTGTTTCTACTCTGCTAACTTGTGTGTGACATCAAGCTGCGCTTCTTTGTGTCTCCAGGTTTCAGAAAGAGCTAAAGACACACTGACAAAGAAACATGTTGTGAACGCTGAATAGAGATAAACAATGAAATCAGAAAAGGCAGATAAAGGGGCTGATGTGAGGGGGGTGCTTTGGTACCTGGTTCCACTTCCACATTTCCTGACTCGGCAGCAGTGCAGTGTGCGGTTGGGATATGTCCAGAAGTTCATCCTAGTGTGCTGAATGTCACTGTGTGTGTTGCTTTACTTTCAGGGGCTGGAGGTTCCTCTGGTGGCTGTGCTGCAGTGGTCCACTCCCAAGATGCCTTTCACCAACTGCATCTACACCCACTACAGGTGAGGGCAAAGTGAAACACTCTGCTTGTAGAACATACACACCAGACCAGACACTGACACACAGTAACAGTCAACCCTCTGAGGGGTTCTCTGACACCCCCTCTCTCCCACCCACCACCCCAGGTTGCCCAGTATCCGTCTGGATCGGCCGCGGTTTGTCATGACGGCGAGCTGTCCGAGCACCGTCAGGGTGAAGGAGCACTTCAAGGTCAAGTACGTCCTGCTCAACAACCTACAGGACTTCCTGGCCGTCCGGCTCGTCTGGACTCCAGAGGGTCAGTGTGCGTTACTCATCTACAGAGGTGGACATCTTGTCTGGTCTCACGACCTCAGGGGCGCGTTTAGGGTTGAGAATCAGGTTAAGAACAAAGTCATGCAACAGGAAATGTGTTATGTTAGAGATAGCCCACTAAACATCAGCACAGCTGTGATTTCCAAATGCATATGTTGAGACTGGTTGAATTTAATGTAGAAAACTAGATGCATATAACTCAGGAAATGTAACCAATCAACTGACTGCTTTGTACATTGTGAGAAATGTTGCTATCTCTGAGCCTTTCAGACTGAAACCTTCTGAAGCACTGTAAAGGTTGACCTTCTGTTCATACACGTCTGGGATGTGTGATTGTGTCTCAGGCCGTGGTCAGGGCGAGGATGCAGCGCTGGCTGCTGTGGTCTGTCACACTCCTCTCAGTAACCTCGGTCACTGTCGAAAAGGAAGCACTCTGTCCTTCAGCGTGGCTTTCCAGATCCTCAGACCAGGACTGTATGAGGTACTGAACCAGGACCTTGACTCTCAAACACAGGAAATCGAGTTAGAATAAAAAGCCTTTCATGTCTGAAATAAATAAGTATATAAATAAGTTTAGTGGAACTGGGATTCACTTCATGTCTTCTTCTATTGTGCTTCCTTACCTCCTCTCTGCAGCTGAGTCAGCATATGAAGTTGAAGCTTCAGTTTACGGCCTCAGTTTCCAACCCTCCTCCTGACGCTCGGCCCCTGTCACGTAAGAGTATTACTTTACTGCACCAGGTCAAAGCTTGTTTAGGTTAAATCCTCTTTTTCATAAGAGACCCAGCCAAGAGGCCAAGGTCAAGGTCAAGCTCAAGTGTTTACTAAAGAGAGATATGGCCCAGTTAGGGTTCAGGTCCGATTCGTAACCAACTGCCATCAGTTGCTCTGCTGCACCTGGCATGTTCTCCCATAGGTAAAAACAGCCCATCCAGCCCTGCAGTTCGAGACCTGCTGGACCGCCACCAGGCAAATCTGGGTCGGTCTCAGTCCTTCTCCCACCAGCAGCCGTCTCGATCCCACATCATGAGGTACCCCGTGGAGTTTGAACAGTCATTCTAGAGCACTGGTTTAATTCACTTTAGCCTAATCACATCTGGTTTTCCCCCGACAGGACAGGCAGCGCCATGGAGCGGCGAGCCATCACACCCCCTGTTGGCTCTCCGGTTGGTCGCCCGCTCTACCTGCCGCCGCAGGACAAAACACTGCTGTCGCTGGACAAGATCGCCAAGAGGGAGTGTAAAGTCCTGGTGGTTGACCCTGTTGGCTAGGGTGCCAGGAGGCATGGTGGGAAGGAAGGAGGGAAGGATGAGGAACCAGTGGGGAATTGTTGTCACCTGGTGCCTGGTGTAGGAAACAGCTCACAGTGAGAAGATTCCCTGTGGTTTCATCATGTGTCCCGATACAAAAAATGTACTGATCGACACATAAAGCTGTGGCTCATGGAGGGAAGGACTGGGATGAGCATGTTAAAGCTGAATAGTTATGGTGATGTATTATCATGATTCTGTCTTGTTCAAAGGAACAGAACCACTTTCTCACAGGGTACCGTTTGTGAACACTTCAACAGCTGTAATGGATTTATTGATGTTAACACACCATTTGCTAAAAGCAGCTAAGAGCAGTTTGGGTTGCCAGGTTGTGAAAAACCCTCCTCCAGTACGAAGCTTTTGTCTTTTTATCTCGTTAACTGTTTGAGCACTGATCTTCTGGAAGACAGCTGCTGCACATCTGGACTACTGTCCAGTTACCACTGGCATCTGCAGACATGATGTATTACTGTAGAGACTTTTATTAATGATTCATTAACACCTATACCTGCAGGTGACTGACTACATGAAAGGCAAACATTTCTAACCTCAGACCAGCGTGAGACCCTAAGTTCTAAAACATGGGTTACCAACATTTATAAGGGCATTATTACTGAACACAGACACAGCCATGTTACCACCAAACACTGGGGCTGATAAGGACACAGATATGGCAGAGACATCACTCAAACAGCAGAATAGAAACTTCTCTTCAAAGTGGTGGAGGTGGATTTTCTGCAACCTGGCAACCCAAAAGTTGCTCCTATTGATTTAATGGTTTATAACTGATCTATATAAATCACTAGTAACTGATGTTTCAACCATCAATGAATCTGTCTTACAGATACTGTAATAGACCCGTTTAAACTGGCAGGAGTAAAAGGTTTGTTTTAAACAGAGGACATCTGCAACGCAGACACAGGAAGCAGAAGCCGGTGGTTGATTTCAGTGTTCACAATCATTTTCACCCCATCCAGATGTTTATGGAATTTAACTGTTTTCATCCAAACAAAAGCTTAATTTAATTCACAGTCTGAACAGTTTATGCCAAACATGTTTCTGAATAACAGAAAACCAGCTCTAGTATTTTCAATCCTGCTGCAGTGTGGCTTCACGTGTTGGCCCACAATGAACCGCCTCAACAAATTGTCATGGCACTGTGTACAGACACCTGCGGTTTTCAAGAGATGAACGCCATTGACTTTTCATCCAACCACAGTGTCAGGCCGAGATTTTCATCCAGTGTCTGGTACCATTATCTGAAACACTAGTGATGCTCCCATCAGCCTCAGCTGCACTTGATGTTTACCGCTAAACATGTTAGCATGTAGCTCCAAGCACCACTGTGTCTTGGAGCTGCTAGAATGGCTGCAGGCCCTCAGTCTGGTTTTAACAGTATGATTTGAATTCTTTTTCCTAATTAATTTTTTTTGTGTCATTTCACTTTTAACATTTTCTGTACCATTACTGTATTATTAGTAGCTTCATGTGAGACAGATGTGCCTTTAGTAAATACTGTACAAAGAAACCCACAACAAACAAAATGTACTGCATGAAAACTTTAAATCACAGTATAGTTTGGGGTAGGTATGGCCCAAACCTTTGCACATGCAACAATTAGTATTAGTTGTTTTAAATTTCTCCAAGTTCATGAAATAAAAAGAAAAGAGCGTTTGAAGACAAACTCAGTTTTAGTGTCTGTTTGCTGAGCAGTTGTGTTTACAGCCTTAGACATAAAACTGTCTGACTCAGGTTACACCAGGTAACTTCTGCAGTTTTTGGCCTTAGAAAATGAAACCAGATCACTAATACTTTTACAACTTGCATTGCAAAAAGCATGGCTGAAGGACACTTTGATATGTGGACCGGACAAGCCAGGAATCGAATGACCAACCCTACAGTTAGGAGACAACCTGCTCTAGCTCTTGAGCCACAGAAATCAAAGATCTCTCTCTGCAGCAGCTTTCAACCCTCTGCAAATTGATTTTTATAGAAATGGCCCAAAACCAATCAGATCTGTTTGTTTGAAGACAGTTCATGTCTACAATATGGGAGTCAGTGATTTATTCGTTAAATTACATTTAGTTAGCAATTAATTTTTGTAATAGTTAATAAACATCCTGATCTGCTTTGAAAATGAATAGTACCAAATGAATCTTATCTGTAGGAATGTGTGCATTAGATTAATTAATACTTCCATGCAGCTGTTTACATGGATTGACATTTCTCTTATAAAACAATCCCTGATGATGTGAGGCGTGTCCGTTTTATATTGAAAAGAGAAGACTAATAAGAGGATATATATTTCACAGTGTGAAATTTATTATGCATTAACGTATCAAAATTAGCTTGTGCACATGGAGCCTCACTGTTTAGGATAAACAGGAAAGACTGACCTCAACTTAGTGGTATACAATATTTGTATGAAAAGGTACTACTATCTAATTGGTCCAAAACTGTTAGGGAGAAGCCGTGGTTTAGACTTAACTCTCCCGTTATTGGTCTTTCAGTCCGTCCGTCCTTTCTGCTCCAATCATCGTGGACAGCGCCCTAGGAAGGAGGAAGAATACCTGTTCTACTTTAATTCCTACATACACACTCACTTCTTCCTTTGTTTTCACTTAATTAAAACTGTTCTGCCTGCGTGTGTGTGTGCATAACTGTTCTCCCTTTAAAGCTTTCTCATCTACGTCTAATCTATGTTAATAAACTTGGACCCTTACCGTACCAAGACTCCTTTTGGTCCACCGGTCCAGAGGAACGATAAGTAACTATGAGCTCTATATAAACATAACTGTGACATATAAGTATGGAAACGTATAAAATAAAACCATTCTTAAGTGCATAAAATAAAAATCACCCTAACAATGATAACGTTAAAATATCGGACTTAAATGGTGACGCTGTTCTCGATGTGTCCTGGACAGAGGTATGGATATGGCAGCTCTAGCTGGCTGTTACGCTGTGTGATGGCATCAGAAATGGTTTTGAGTTCAGCCTGCACTTCCTGCACCAGCCTGCGGTGGGCGTCATCTCTGAAAACAGCCTCCTTGTAGTGACACAGGGGAACCTGCAGGGGGAGACACACAGGGGGTCACTTTAAAACACTTCAGCAACAGCTAATCGCAAAAATCATAGAATTGGTCCTTCCTTTTGTGGAGGTAAGAACTGCATCAGATAGAATGATGAGGACTACACGTACTGCATAACCTAAACATTGCAGAAATATAGGAATCATGAATCAACAGAGTTCAAATCTGAAACGTGTTCTCATCAGATCGAAGTGTGTCAGATATTTGTCCTGCAGAGCACACAGGTTGGTGTGGGTGGACCCTCACAAAGTTGATGGTGGGCTGCAACAGCTGTGCCAGCGTTGAGAGGACACGACAGGTCGCGTTCACGTCCGGCAGGAAGGACATGATGTCGTCCTCCGTCACTGCACCTTTGACCTGCGGAGGGGGACGTGACATGTAGGCCGGACTGTTTGGCATCCAGAGGCCGAAGTCCAACTGGAGGACATGAAGACAGAGGAGACAGGGAGAAAGAGTTAGAAAAAATAATCAGATGTGAACGAGAAGGCAAATGTTTTATAGTTGTGTCAAAATGTCTGGGTCGAGTTTAAATCTAACACTGTGCAGTCGAAGAAGACAGGAGCTGCTGGAGGTACATGTTTAGTCTGTGTATTCACACTCTGTGAATACACAACTGGTTATAAGACGCGCTTGGAAAGTATCTCCTGATGTCCTTGTCCTACTCGGCGCTGGGGGCTTGGTTTACAGGGTTGAGATTCAGCGCACACTGATGAAGAACTGTGTATGTGTTTATACAAAAGTCTCTATACGACATAATTATATTAGCAGTGGTGAGTGACTGTAAAACCAACCAGCAGGGTCACTGATCGATCAGGTGATCACTGTCCTGATGATCTGTTTATCCCCAGAATGTCAGACACTTGGAAAAAGTTCCACTGTGACTCTCTGGAGCCGAAGGCAGCGTCTTCACACAGCTTGTTGTGTCCAACCAACAGATCCACAGAGCCTCAACTGATTCTCATGTCTGACAAAGAAAAGCATCAGCTCCTCACATTAAGGAAGGTGGAACCAGAACATGTCGGCTGCAGCTCTAGGTCACTGAATGGCTTCATGAGGACGACAGTGAGGAGATCTGGTTTGGAAGGAGATGGTTTCCTCCATCTGACAGAGGAGAACTGACGCTGCTCTGGAGACTCAGCCCTGCTGGGTACTGGGTGGTGGTTTGGCCTGTCAGTTCTCACCAGCCGTGTGTGATTAAATCATGGCATGTGGAGCTACTTTGAAAGTTACTATGGAACAGTTTGAATCTGTCTTGACAGTCGGTCACAGCTGACACTGACATGTTTGTCTTCAGTCTGACTGACCTGGGAGAAGTTGACAGCAGCGTGCAGCGCTGAGCAGCTGTAGATGACCATGGTGGCAAACTTGGACACATCTGCCTTGGTCTGTAAAGACTGAGGGAAACCTGGAGGACAAGATGAGACGAACCACCACAACACAGAGTTGTTTGTTGGTACAGGTTCTCTACGACAACATCATGGCTTAGACTGTGCATCGTCCCCATCTGTGACAAACAAACAGGATGTTATGGGACAAACAAACCCACCTGGGCTGTGTGTGAAGCCATGTGCATTGATGTCGGTGATCCAGTTTTGAAGCTCCGAGTCCTGCTCCACTTCTCTGTCTCCGCTGTAGTACAGATCCACCCAGCTGCCCACAAACCTACCACATACAGAGTTTAGCTGAGTTCATTTTTGTTAGGCCTGATTTGCTGGGTTAAGGTTAGTTCTCTGACTCCCTGACATCCTGCAGTCAGCTCGCTTAAAGGAGATGTCCAGGATTATTCCAGTTGGTCTGAAAACAAAACTGATGTGTCCATATGTTGGTAAGAGTGGGTCTTAGTAACATTTCCTGAGCTACACAGTAATGCATCTTTAAGTACCTACCTACCTGTACTTTAATGTGAAATGTGCCATTCTAGAGAATCACTACTTCTACCATTGCTACTTCAAGTATACTTTGATGCTAATACTTTTGAATGCAGCACTTGCTACAAAGTATTTCTACACTGTGATATTACTACTTACTTAAGCAAAGGACCCGAGTACTTCTTCCACTGGAGTTTTGTCCTTTCCACAATTTTAAGGATGATAATCGTTCATGACCTGTGAGCTGGTTAGTGCAGCTTCCTGGACCGACCACCTGGTTGAGGGGCGTTTGTTTACCTGTGCAGTGCGTCCCAGACTTTCAGGGCATCCTGGGCGTAGTAGCTCTGTGGCAGTTTGTCCACACCGCGGTCAAACACATCATCGGGGACACAAAGAGAATGATAAGAAATCCTCTCCGCTGCCCGGGAGAGGAGCACAGGTAGCGCCTCCAGACCCAAGCCCACCGCCTGGAGGAGCAAGAAGATCAACCACTAATCAGAACAACTTCTGGGCCACCAGGTTATAGGAAATTCTGCTGTCTGTTCATCAGGGGCCTCTCTGGACTGGACTGTTTGACTACTGATCTTCTGGAAAACAGCTGAAGTACATCTGCCCCAAATCTGATTATGAACATTTGCAACCGTAGACCTAGGTATCTATTTGAGAATGTGAAGCCCAGAGTTCTTGCTCATGCTTTGCCATCATGTATAGCTACCTGCATTCTTACACACAGACACCAACACACTAGATTTAAACCAGACACATTGAGTTGCTGTGATGTTCTGTCAACGTTTGGGCTGCTTTGTGTTCCACACATACACATCATTTCAGCTCCTTAAACTGTTTCTTGCATATTTATGGGTCTCTTCGTTCTCTTCGGTCGCCGAAGGTCAACTGCACCTGGGGTTCGACTGGTTTGGAAAGCAGCCGTTGTGTTTTCCAGAAGATAACTGGTCAAACATCCATTTAATGAATTAAACTGGCAACCCAGAGTTATTCTTATTAATGACAGGTTTATGAACTCAAATGAACTTCAGCGCCAGGGGATGTACCTTATCAAACACACCATCAGGAGCCAGCAGAAACTCTCTGGCCTGGAAGTTGATCTGAGGTGACGTCCAGATGTGCGGCATCAGCAGCTGTTCACAGCCAATCAGAGAACAGAAACTATGTAAACAACAACATCCTGTGGAGGGAATATTTGGAGGATGCAGCCAGTGTCATTCCCCACCAAACCTGTCAAAAGACCAGCAGCACCAGTGAATGTGGCGTCCTCACTGAAATGTGTGTGAGTCCAGACCCTGGTCGTCTCTCCCTCAGTGCTGTGTAGGGTCAGTTGTTTATAACCAGGAAACCCATCATGAAACAACATGTGTAATTACAGATGTTTTAATTCTGTAATGTTCAGAAAGGTGAATCCCAATGCACTAACCGCGTCCACATTTCCCTCACTTGTGTCTTTTCCTTGCGTCCCAGTCCCACTCGTGTAAGATGTGAGGAGAGAGGAACCAAGGAAACACATTTTAACTGGCATCCTTTCTTCTGATCCCAATGTGAAGCATCCAATCAAACTGATTTTCGATAAAGGGGTGTGTCAATTTGTAACAGATGTCCACAAAGGAAGCACTTGTCTATCAAATCAAAAATCAAATCAAATTTTATTTGTATAGCGCCAAATCACAACAAAAGTCATCTCAGGACACTTTACAAAGTAAGGTCTAGACCTTACTGTTATCAATATTATTACATAGGGAAAACCCAACAAATCCCCCTTGAGCAAGCACTTGGCGACAGTGGGGAGGAAAAACTCCCTTTAACGGAAGAAACCTCCGACAGACCCCGGCTCTTGGTGGGCGGCCTTCTGCCTCGACTGGTTGGGGTGAGTGGATAGAGTAGAGGAAATGAAGAAAAGCAACAGGACACAACAAAAAATCAAACACTGGTCAGGTTGATGTGGCTGGTGACTGCTCATCAGAAAAATAGAGCTCCAGGGCCAGGGCAACCTGCAGAAAGGTACTGGGAGAGAGAGATCTGTGCCAGATCTGTGCCTTGCCACAATTCTGTCTCTGAGCTCTTCAGTCAGTTCCTTTGACCTCATGATTCTCATTTGCTCTGACATGCACTGTGAGCTGTAGGGTCTTATATAGACAGGTGTGTGGCTTTCCTAATCACGTCCAATCAGTATAATCAAACACAGCTGGACTCAAATGAAGGTGTAGAACCATCTCAGGGATGATCACAAGAAATGGACAGCACCTAAGTTAAATATAAGAGTGTCACAGCAAAGGGTCTGAATACTTATGACCATGTGATATTTC